GGGGGGTGGATTCTGAGCCGAAGCGGGCAGAGCCCACTGGGAGTGCAGCTCGCCCAAGCAGTGCGCAGGCGCAGGCGCTCTGGTTCGCCATCGTCCTCTTTGTCTTCTGGTGAGTTAGGTTTCTGCTCCTTGGGACCTGGGTTTCTGGGTCCTCAGCCTGACCAGGGAGTCTCTCGGGGAGGGTTCGCGGCGCCTGCGAAGGGGCTGGGGAGGCCCAAGGGGTTGGAATCGCCTTCTGGGACTTGCAGAGCGCCGGGGGTGTGTGCATGGGGGCAGGGTACCGGAGGAAGCGGGTGGGTTTCCGGGTGGGTGGTCAGGGGCGTGAGGGTGGTTTGGGATCGAAGTTAATGAGAAACTGGTTCCAAGTTTGTGAGGCAGTAGATTTGTGCTGTAGTAATCTCTGATCCTCAGTTTTCTCATTTCTAAAACAATAAAGATGTATTTTCCTGGAAAATACAAAAGGCTAAGGAATTGAACGCATAACCAATTTAAAAATGGATTTTTATATAAAAAGCATAACCATTGTGAATTTAATAAAAGGAAATAAGCATCCCCCCCCTTTTTTTTTAAAGGAACAAATGTTTCCGAAAATCTTGTTATTGGATGCCTAGACTCCCAGTAGGTATTAACTTAATACTTTGAAGGACTTTGGTCGAGCTGCTTTGAGACTGTCAGAAATTAGGAATAGCTTTAAGAGGTAGTTTCACTAGTGCACACAGCAGCCTTTGGTGCAGAAAGGTCAAGAAACCTATTTGAGACTCCTAGTTTGTCAAAGGACAGGAGAGTCTGACTTGGATTTGACTATTTTTCTTTATATCCAGAGTTCTTTGTAAATGTAGGGAAAGTGTTCTATCCACAAAGAGATTCTTTTCTTGAGTATTTTGTCACACTCATTCTTAATATATTTTTTCAATAAGATGAAAAAGTAAAGTGCCAGGACACAGGATTTCTTATACAAGTAGTAGTTTTGATACCAAAAAATGGTAAAAGTTATAAAAAGGCAGACTTGTTTGTGCTTGTCCCTCAGATATCAGTGTCCTAAGTTTCTGGCCTTGGTCATCTTTTTTCCCCCTAAGTCCTCCATGAGCAACAACATTCCACTGCTTTGGTTTCATATGACACAGGTACCTAACAAATGTCAGTTTTTATTGAAGGCATGTTCAGGCTCCTAATCCGTACATCTGTCCAATGAATGATCAGCTCCAACTGGAGCTTACACAGAAACTTCAAATTCTTCTTGTTGAAAATGACATACTGATAGCTCCTTCTTACAGTCTGTCTCCATTCATTTCCCCTTTCTGTATTATCTGTTCCAATAATTCTTAGCACTGTCCATCTAGGTTCTAAGGCTCCTACATGTAAGAGAAAAGCTGAATAAGTTTGACTGTTTCATCCATCTGCCATACCCTATTAGAAACTGGAAACCAAGGTGTCTTTATGATACATAATGTTTGCTGAATCAGCAAATGTACAGTCTAATTGTGGGATACTTGGTACATTTAATTTTTCCTAGAATTACCTAACCTAGGTAAGATACTATGCCTCAAATTTTCAAGAGCTCTGAATATTATCAGAATAATTTCCTATATATTTTGTCCATGTTGCTGAATGTTAGTGACCTCACATTTATAAGAAAAATGTGAGGGAAAAATAATGCTCACAACTTTGGTTTCAATCTGGAGCAAGGCCACAGTGTCACCTGCTCAAAGGAACCTGTTGAGATTATGATTCTGGAGAACTCTTGATACCTCAGTCACATAGTTTCTTGGTATAACCTAAATTCTGAAAATAAGGTACTTTCTAGTTCCTATATCTGAAATATGTGGTGTTTTTAAATGGTATAATGGATTCATTTGTTCACATGTTTGCATATACCCAAAATTCATCATCACATATTTCACAGGCTAGCTTTCTGTATATCTTCAGGAGCTGCACACTCCATACCTTTCCAAAGTCAAATTGCTAACTCTGTGTCAATCAGAATGGCCAAGTTTTGGAGTCATTTGGCCCCTGGTGGAAATTTATTTTCTGCACATTGCTCGCAAGGTTTGAAATGTGGCCATGGGAGTCGGGGCCCCACAGGTCCCAACTGACCTGTGGCACTCGATCGGGACAGGACTATGGTCCATCAGCCCCGTCTTCCTCCTCCCTTTTTCCTTTAAAACAGACAGAGCCCGGGGGAGGATTGATTTATGTCTTTTTTACAACTAGTGATCTTTACAATTTAAAACCTCTGAGGGGTCTAGGGGACTTGGCCTAATTCTGGGATGCTACTTTGACCTTCAATCATCACATCCTGTGTCATTCTTCTGTTCACAAGTTTAAAGTCACCAATTCAAGCAACAAAAGCAATGGATGATTGAAAAGAAATAAAGTTCTCTCTAGGTGAGTAATTGAGGACCTGGCGGGTATGAGTGTGATAAAGACTCAGTGAGAATTAGGAATATCTAAAAAAAATTGTTTTGAGATTCTTTTTTTATTAGTCCATGTTTTGGAGTGGCAGTTGCTGGGAATTCTTTAGATACCTAAATGACATCTCCAGATCTTTCTGATTCTATGCTTTCCTTTTCTCAGATTCTAGAAAATTGGTTGCCCCTCTAACATCCACTTTGGATGCCAGCCTCTCTACCTCATTTGGAGCCTTAATGTTTGTAGCTTCTTTCCTATTTATTTTCCCAACATCCTCCATTTTTTGCATCTAGCTGAATGTCTAGCTCATTTCCTTAAGCAAACCTTCATAGACCTATAATCTTTTGAAAAACTAGCATGTAGATTTTTTTCCTTAAATGCCTTCCTTTTATTGTTATATACTTTAGGGTTGAATTTTACCTCATTAATCTTATTTCCTATTGTTTTTTTACTTCTAGCTATCACAGTTTAAGATTTTTGCACCTATTTAAAAATATGTTTTTTATTAGTACATGATGTTTATTATTTTCCTTGTGTGGAGTTGGTACCAGTGTATATATTAATTCCTTTTTTCATACTCTCACTTAGCCCTTCCTGCCTCTATCTCTTGATCCCTTTCCCATTTGAGAAATATCTATCTTCATACTTCCCATTATCTATCTTTTATCTATCTTTTAGTTTGCCCTTTACTTATAATTTGGGTTTTTCATTTAAGAAGCCATGCGATATTTAAGCTTATGTGTCTGATTTCACTTAACATTATGGTCTCAAGATTCATCAATTTCCTAATCCAAATGATTCAAGTTTATCTTTATGGCAGAGTAGTACTCAATTGTGTACATATACCACATTTTCTTTATCCATTCATCTGTTGATGTACATATAGGCTGCTTTGAAAATCTAACTATTTTGAATTGTACTGCTATAAACATGGGTATGCATTTATCCCTGTAATGTGATGTCTTTAAATTTTTTGAGACGATACCTAGGAGGGGAATAGCTGGGTCAAATAGAATTTCTAGTTTTAGTTTTTTGAGGCATCTTCATACTGGTTTCCATAGTGGTGGTACTAATTTACATTCCCACCAACAATGCAGAAGGGATCCTTTTTGCTAGCAGCCTCACCAACATTCGTTACTACAGTCATTCCTAGATTTACAAACATTCGAGCTGGAAACTTTCACAGATAGGTAGGGTCCTCACATTACAAACAAATTGCAGAAGTAGCTCACATGTGTTCAGGACAGTTGTATTGCCTTGTGCTTACTGTACAGTGTGATGGTGTACAGTAGTACGGTGCTCAATCAGAGCCCAGGATATTTGGAAGCAAGAGGAAAAGCAGTGGTGATGTGGAGGGGACTGCTAGGAAGCTCAAAGCAATATACACTGCATATTTGTGTTAAAGGTGTCTAAGACTCACTTTGTGGGACTTACAAATGAATCTAATTTAAGAACATTCTCCTGGAACAGAACTTACTCGCAAGCCAGGGACTTACTATATTTGACTTCTTGATGGCCATTCTTTCTCGTGTAAAATGGAATCTCGGTGTTGTTTTAATTTGCTTTTCTCTAATGGCCAGTAATGTTGAGCATTTCTTCATGTATTCTTGGCCATTTGTACTTCTTCTGTGAAATATCTATTCATTTCACTGGCCTATTTTTTTTATTGGGTCTTTTATTTGGGGGGGGTCTAATATTTTTTAATTCATTATGTATAGATATTAGTGTCTGGTCCTCTGTCTGAGGAATAGCTGGCACAAACTTTTTCCCATTCTGTAGGTTTTCTTTTCACCCTGTTGGTTATTTTGCTGTGCAGAAGCTTTTTAATTTGATATGGTCCCATTTGTTGATTCTTGGTAATACTTCCTGTGCAACCGGGATTCTGTTCAGAAAGTCTTTGCGTATGCCTAAAAGAATTTTACCTATTTTGTCTTCCAGAAGGCTAAGTGTTTCTGTTTTAACATTTAGTCCTTTGATCCATTTTGATTTTAGTTTAGTGTATGGTGAGAGATACGGATCTAGATTCAATCTTCTGCATGTGGATAGCTAGTTTTCTTATTAAAGAGACTATCTTTCCTCTAGTGTTATGTTTTTGGCCCCTTTGTCAAAGATCAAATAGTTGAATTTGGGGTTGTTTATGCACCCTCTGCATCTCCAACTTTTAATAGTATTACACAGGCTAAGAAATTACTACTGTCTTTGTACTAGTCCATTTCTGTTACTTTTAAGAATAATTATTCTTAAAATTTAGTACATGTACTTGATAGAAAATTAAGATAATAGAGTCTGTCTCCTCATTCCTTGCCCTCAATTCTTTTATTTCTGATCATCAGAAGTAGCCATTGTTAACAGTAACTTATATCTGCTTCTAAATATTTTTATAAGTATACAAGAAAGCTTTCAAGTACAGTAGTATTATGATTTGATTGTATAGTATTACTGTAGCTGCTTTGCTGAGATTGTTGTAAAGACATAAAGACAAGTATCAAGACCAGTGAGGAACCTATTAAATAATCCAATCCAGATATCACAGAGCTTAGATCTTGGTGGTACCAATGAACATATGAGAAATAGCCAGATTCTGGGTCTATTTTCATGATAAAGCCAATAAGATATGAAGAGGTAATGGATATGTGATCTGAGAGAAAGAGAAGTGTTGCTTGAGCAAATGGGAAAATGAGAAAAAATTGCTATTTAGAGAAGAATTTGGGGGAGTTGGCTTGAGAGGGAGAGCAAGAGTTTGGTTTGGGGCAGGATCAACTAGACCCCTGTTAGACATCCAAGTGAAGATGTTGAGTAGCCAGTTGGATGGGTCAATCAGGTCCAGGGTGGTGATTAACATTTGTTAGGCATCTCAGTACATGATATGTAAAGCAGTAGGACAGGACTGATGAGTGTGCCGATCATGTGAACCTAAGTGACTATTATAATAAACCTCAAAATACCATTTTAAGGAATGTAGGAATTGATTTCTTGGTCACATAACGTGTGGCGAATAGCCCACATTTGCATTATGTATTTTAGCTTTCCAGTTGCTGGGACAAAATACTTGACACCTGGAACTTGAGGAGAGTTTTATTTTGCCTCGTGGTTTCGGAGGGTTCAGGCCATGGTCAGCTTCTCCAAAGCAGAAATGGCATGACAGAGAGGCCTGGCAGAGGAAAGCTAGTCAACCCATGGCAGCCAAGAATAGAGAGAGCAGAGAGCAAGAGCCCCAGAGAGATAGCCCCTTATAAGGAACAACCCCAGTGACCCACCTCCTCCAACTGGGCCCTACCTCCTAACAACACATTCATGAATTAACTCATCAATGAATTCATTGATGCTTAATTATAGTGCCCCCATGAGCCAATCACCTCCTGTTCAGAAGTGGTTCTGAACATAGGAGACTTTTGGAGAACATTTTAGATGTAAACTATAATACATAGTAACTTTGGTTTTTCTTTTCATTTAAGGATCAAGGTTTCTTCCAGATTGTATCCATATTAACAAGTTGAGATTAGAGCTGATTCAACAATGTATCTCAGTTTCTGGCCAGATGAAAGAATATGAGTCACTAATCTGGGACAAGGGGTCAGTAAACTTTCTATAAAGGACAAGATAGTATTTTAGGCTTGATAGGTCATAGGATCCCATAACTATTCAGCTCAGGTGTATTCGCACAAGAATAGTCAAAGACAATTAAAAAAAAAAGAATGAACATGGTCATGTTCCAATAAAGCAAAAAACAGGTAGTGTGGTGTAGTTTACTAAGCCATGCTCTAACAGGTCACCATTTACAAGAATACAATTAAGAGTTTGCTTGCTGTTAGAGCACTCCTTTTATATTTTTAAAATATTTTTTCCTCTTTTTTTTTTGGTACCAGGGATTGAACTTGGGTCCTTGCACTTGTGCAGCAGGCAGCAAAACCAATGAGCTAAAACCCTGGCTAAAATATTTTTCAACCACAAGATAAATGCTATTGAAAGGACCTTTTTCCTGGCATTTAGATGTTGCCTATTTCAGCATTGTCACTTTCAGTATGAAAACTTCTGTTCTAATAAATATCCATGAAGGATGTTAATATACCTAAAAAGGTATGAGGTACTTCAATTACAAAAGAGATATAATTCTTTACTTTCTCATTGGGAATATAGTACCTTTAAGTCCTGATCTGTTGTGCATCATATTTCCCCAAATTTAATGAATTTTAAAAGTAATTAGAAAATTTTAAGTAAATTATAATATTATCATTTGTTTTTATTTTTTGGTACTGGGGATTGAACTCTGCACCTTCCGCTTGCGAGGCAGGCGGTGGAACCACTGAGCTAAATCCCCAGCCCTTTTAAAAATTTTTTTATAACATAGGGTCTTGCTAAGTTACCCAGGCTGGCTTTGATTTGCAATCCTGTTAGAAGAGTGCTGGAGCCACACCTGGCTCTTGTTTACACTGTTGAGCACAAAGTGATTATTAAATTATTTTTTATTATTGCAGAGCTGCAGTTTAGAAGGATTTGCTTTTTCAGCTTCATCAAAGTATAGTTTACATTAAAACGTCATCACCTTTAAATATATTATTGGTGAATTTTGCTAATTGTATATAATCATACAACCAATAACCAAATCAAGGTGTAGAGTTATTTTCCAAAGTGGCTGTACCATTTCATTCTCTCTATTAATGCATGAGAGTACAGTTGCTATACACTCATAACTGTGTTGGCAGTCCTTTTAACTTCATTTTAATGGGTGTGTAGTGTATCTCATAGGAGCTTTAATGTATTTTCCTGATTACTAGATGAGATAAACTTTTTGTGTGTGTGCACAGTACTTGGGATTGAGTCCAGGTCTTTTCATTGAACTTTAGTCCTCTGCCTCAGCCTCTCAAGAGTGCTGGGATTACGGGCATGTGCCACCAAAATGTGAATTTCTTTAACATGTTTAATCGCTATTTAGATACCTTACTTTGTAAAATGTCTATTCTAGTTGTTTTCCCATTTTAAAAACTAGATTAGTAGCTAACCATGGTGGAGCATGCCTACAATCCCAGCACCTAGGAGGCTGAGGCAGGAAGATTCCGGCAAGTTTAAGGCCAACTTGGGCTACATAGTGAATTCAAGGCCAGCCTTCACTACAAAGCAAGGAAAAAAACAAAACAAAAAAGGGCCAGGGATTTAGCTCAGTGGTGCTTCGCCTGTTGAGTTAGATCCCTGGTACTGCAAGAAAAAAGAAACAAAAAATAAAAAAGATTAGTTGCCTTTTTATTATTGAGTTTAAAGAGTTCTGTGTGTGTGTGTGTGTGTGTGTGTGTAAGTGTGTATTTAGAGGTACAAGCCCTTAATTAGTTTATCCTGGTTTATCAGCTTATCCTGCTTTGTGGTTTGCTTTTTTTTTTTTTGAGGCAGGGTCTTGCTGTGTAGTTCAGGCTGGCCTCGAACTCATGGCAATCCTCCTGCTTCAGCCTCTTGAATGCTGGGATTACAGGTATGCACCACCACACCTGGCACCTTTCTGTTTTCTAAAGTGTGTATTTGACAGACATTAATTTTTACTTTAGATAGAGCTTATTTCACTATTTTTCTTTTATATTAATAGTTTTAGTGTTTTAGGTCTATGCTTAATTTTGAGTCATTTTTATGACATATAAATAAGCAGAGGCATATTTTTCTCTAATTAATGGAAGTACAGCATTGCTGTGAGATCTTGCAATGATATATGAGAAAATGAAGGTAAAATGTTGAGAGGGAAGGATCAAGATAATGTTGAAGCTTTCTAGCTAGTGGATAGAAAGTATGCTTTAGAAAGAGAGCAAGACAAGGACTCTTTATAAGAGCAGAGCTTGCGTGTCAATATATATCGGGCAAAATAAAACCAGAGAAATGAATGAAAATGGGGCTTGAGAGTAGTAACATTATCTATATCCAGAAAAGATAATAAAAGTAATTAAAATACTATAGTAAGTCATATAGAAGCAAAGAGGTTGGCTTTTTTTGTCTTCTTTTTGGTCATAAAATATGTATACTTTATTGTTTAGCCCATGTGAGACTCAATCACAACTAGATTAAAAGAGTAGGGCTGGAGATCTAGCTCAGTGGTTCTGCTGCCTGCCTTGCAAGCGCAAGGACCCGAGTTTGATCCCTGGTACCAAAAAAAAAAGAGCACTATCTCTAGTTGTACAGCTGTAGATGGGTTCAAGTGAAAGACCAAGTCTGCAAGGCTTATTCTGTAGGTATAATGAGTAGGACCTTTTAAATGCCAAATAGGATTATAATCAGCACTTAGTGTATGTGGGTTCCATATCGATGGATTCAACCCACCTAATATTGAATATATTTAGAAAAAAATTCCATCTTTAGTGAACATGTACAGATTTTTTCTGTTCATTAATCCTTAATACAGTACAGCAACTATATATACAGCATTTATTACAGGGTATTAGGTATTATATGTAATCTAGAGATGATTTAAAGTATATGGAAGGATATGCATAGGTTGCATGCAGATATGCCATTGTGTACAAGGCACTGGAGCATCCATAGGTTTTGCTGTCTGCAAAGTTCTTGGAACCAATCTCTTGTGGATACCAAGGGAAAACTGTACAGTTATGCTTTCTCTGTATTCCTCATCTTCAATTCTTACTCCACAAAGCAACCACCTGCAGCTCAGTTAACTGTCTGCTGGTGTTTATTTGTATATTTTATATAGCTATTTCACCTATTTTTTGACTTATCAATTTTAGACATTACCTGACTACTAATATGAAAGATATAGTTCAGAAATGTTAATCACCAGCACCCATACTTCCCATCTTTCTGCGTTCTAATACATTACATTGCTGATTTTATTAAATTAGTTGTCACCGTAAGTTATAGTGTTTGTATAGTTTGTATCTGCAAAGATCTAGGTTAAATCCCCAGTACCAAAAAAGAAAGATAGTTATACACACCAGTGAATATTATGTGTATTTGTGCTCTTTATTTAGATTGAGCGACCAGGCTTGAATAATCTATTATAGTAGCATACTTCTGAAATTTTAATGATGAGTGGAAAAATTCAGTTATTAGTGGTGTTGATAAGCTAATTTATCAGATGCTTACCACATGCCAGGTGGCAAAATTTTTGCACTTGTTAACTCTTTTTAATGATGATTTTTTTCATATTCTCTTTTAGAAGAAGCTTGGGCAGTTCATAAGCAGACCAGGAAGCAACATTAAAGACTTGTGAGTTATGTCTCATCTTTCTTTGTGAAAATACAAACTAAGGAAAAACTCAGAAAACCTAGGAAACAGGAAAGTATTTCCTCTGAGCATTGACTGACATTGCATTGATACACACTGATTTTTGGACTGCACTCCTATGTATGGGACTCAGTTTGAGAGAGTTTGAAACACAATTCATACTTATATATAATTTATACTTAAATATGATAGAAAATGTGTAAGAAAGACATTCATATAAAGAGAATGCTATATTTTTATCCCTTTATATAACCACTGCATCTCAGAATAATCAATGCAAGAAAAGTCTTCTATCATAAATTCAACATCATTACCATACCTGAGAATTAATATTGAAAAGAAACCATATGACTTCAGTGAATGTTGGAAAGTTGTTATCCTTAACATATCTCAGTAGATACTAGGGGAACCTAGAAGAAAGTTCCTGTGCATGACAAAAATGTTGGAATGTCTTCAGCCTGAATCAGATCTCACACAGCATGATGAAATTCATACTGGAAAGCAACTTTATGAATGTAAGGTGTGTAGAAGAACTTTTAGCCTGAAGCAAAACTTCATAGAGCATAAGAAAATGCATACTGGAGAGAAATCACATGAATGTACTGAATGTGGTAAAGTGTTCTCTCAGGTCTCATCGCTTACTCTACATTTGAGAAGTCATATAGGGAAGAAATCATATGAATGTAATAAATGTGGAAAAGCCTTCAGCCAGAAGGGAAACTTCCTTTCTCATCAGAAATATCATAGTGGAGAAAAACCTTCTGAATGTGAGAAAGCACCTGTTCAAATGGCAACCCTCATCAGGCATCAGAGAGATCATACAGGAAATAAACCATATGCATGTAAGGAATGTGGGAAAGCTTTTAATAGCAAATCATACCTCAGTGAGCATGAGAAAATTCACACTGGAGAGAAACCATTTGAATGTAATCAGTGTGGAAGAGCCTTCAGCCAGAAGCAACATCTCATTAAGCATCAGAATATCCATAGTGGAAAGAAACCTTTCAAATGTAATGAGTGTGAAAAAGCCTTTAGCCAGAAAGAAAACCTCATTAGCCATCAGAGAATCCATACAGGAGAGAAACCTTATGAATGTAAAGGGTGTGGAAAAGCTTTCATTCAGAAGTCAGGCCTCATTAGACATGAAAGAAGTCACACTGGAGAGAAACCCTATACATGCAAGGAGTGTGGGAAAGCCTTCAGTGGCAAATCAAATCTCACTGAGCATGAGAAAATTCATATTGGAGAGAAACCCTATAAATGTAATGAATGTGGAACAATCTTCAGGCAGAAGCAATACCTCATTAAACATCACAATATTCATACAGGAGAGAAACCCTATGAATGTAATAAATGTGGAAAAGCCTTTTCACGGATCACATCACTCATTGTACATGTAAGAATTCATACAGGTGATAAACCTTATGAATGTAAAATTTGTGGGAAAGCTTTCTGTCAAAGCTCATCTCTTACTGTACACATGAGAAGCCATACAGGTGAGAAACCCTATGGTTGTAATGAATGTGGGAAAGCCTTTTCTCAGTTCTCAACTCTTGGTCTACATATGAGAATCCATACTGGTGAAAAACCTTATCAATGTAGTGAATGTGGGAAAGCTTTCAGCCAGAAGTCACATTACGTTAGACACCAGAGAATTCATACTCATTAAAGTTCTATGAATGCCTTGGATTTAGGAAACTCTTCAGCAGAATTTACACTTAATTATATATCAAGTTTTGTTTTACATTAAAGAGACATAAATGTAGCAAATTGTATTAAATACTCAAAAGTATTTAATAAGTGTCAGAGTATAATAAAAGCCTATGCCCCTAAAACTCCCACAATAAACATTATTAATAGTATACTTTAAGAAGTATTCTCAGTACAATTAGGATACAGTAATGGATATTAATTACCTAGAAGGCCTACCAGATGCATTAAGATAATATGAGAGATACAAAGATTTGAAATTAGACACAATTACTTTCTTGTTTTGCTACATATGAATTTTGTGAAACTATAATCATCAAAGTTATTATTATTATTTTTGGTACTGAGGATCAAACTCGGGACTTTGTGCTTGCGAGGCAGGCGGTGAAACCGCTGAGCTAAATCCTCAGCCCTCAAAATTATTGTTTTGCAGTACAGAAAAGTGAAATTAGGACAGACTGTTGAATCCAGAAATGCTTGAATGTATGGGAAATTGGTCATTGATAGAGGTAGTATCTCAGATTGGTAGCAAAATCATGGATGACAAAAAAAAATGGTCTCAGGGTAATTGATTCTTCATATGGTAAAATACTAGACCTCTGCCCTCATTGTCCATTAAAATATTTATTTCTTATAAATTCTAAATGTACTGAAGATTAGAATGCATAAAGTGAAACAATGTAAGAATTTTGTACGGGAATGTTTTTAATTGGGGCAGGAGAAAATTTCTAAACTAGATTGTTTTTGGTACTGGGAATTGATCCCATTGCCTTTGCAGTAAGCTACATCCCCAACCCATTTTTTTGAGACAGGGTCTCATTAAGTTGCCCAGGTGAGGTTTGCATTTATGATCCTCCTACTTCAGTCTCCCAAATACTGGGATTACAGGCATGCAATACTAGCTTAGAAATTACTCCATCTATCTATCTATCTGTCTATATTGATCTCAATTGATCAATCAATCGATAGATAGACCTCAAAATCTGAAACTTCTAAACAGAGAGTCTGTTTATTCCAGTATGAATTATGGTAGCCAAAAATTGGACACAAGTGTTTGTTGTTTGTGAAATAGATGAATAAAATGTGATGCAGTCATACTGTAGAATATTCTTTTAGCAGTTAAGTACAAATTAAATCTATATGTATTAACAGTAAAAGGAAAAAATCATGTAGAATGAAGAAAGCTAAAGTGATGAGCATATTGTAAATGATACCTGTATACATTTTGAATGAAATCAGTATTAACCAATCCATGTACTAAGATTTGATTATGGAAAAGACCCTTTTTCTATAAAACTACAAAGAATGAATTGGACAGATACACACTCAGTTCCTAAAAGTGGTTGCCTCTGACAGGAAGGAAACCAGAAAGGAAATGTGACCCAGCATAGTAGTGAAAGGATACTTCAATTTTCCATCTAAATATTTATTTTCATTAAAAAAGAAGATTCCACTTGAATGTAACAAAATGTTAGTTAATTTTGGAATTTGATAATGTACATATTCATTCTTTTGTTAGTGATATTTTCTCAAAATGATAGAGATGTGGGGAATGTATACATGACATACATGTTACAGTAATCCCCTTTATCTGTGGGGAATACATTTGAAGGCCCCCAGTGGATGCCTGAAACCCTAGGTAGTAAGTACTTAATCCTATGTGTGTTGTTTTGTTTGGCACTATTGGGAATTGAACTCATGGCTTCACACTGAGCTATATTCCCAGCCGTTTTCATTTTTTATTTTGAGACAGGGTTTCATCATGTTGCTTGGGCTGTCCTTGAATTTAGGATCATCCTGCCTCAGCCTCCTGAGTAGCTGGAGTTACCACCATGGCCAGCTCTCTACGTTTTTCCTAAACATACATACACCTGTGATGAAGTTTAGTTGTAAATTAAGCACTATTAGAAATTAACAATAAGTTCCCATAGAGCTTAGCAATCTCGTATGATTTTATTTTTGTTTAATGGAGAACTTTTACCTTTTAATTAAGGAAAATATATTAAACCTTCACTTTGGCATATCCAAATTGTCAGCATCACTACTCTTAATGCTTTGGGCTAGTAAGTAAAATAAGGGTTGTTGTGTAGTTTATGTCCTCTGATTGGACCCAGACTCATACAGAGTTTGGAAAAAGACTTGCCCTGATCCCACTTCTTTTCTCCTCTGCCATGGATTCTGTCCATTTGCATAGAGCATGCATTTTCCCATGCTCTGCGGAATGCCACGAGGGAGGTGATTCTGTCCTTGGGTGTGAATTGAGGTAAAGGTAATATCATAGTTACTATGACTGACTGGTGCAGGAAAAGTCAGAATGCTCACTAGGCTTCTGTGTTGCCCTTTCACCTCCAACGTGTCTTAATCTGTAATAAAAATGATGTTTGACCTCCATTTGTCCTTAATTCTTTGTTATATATCTCAGTTGGGTAGTAAACCTTGGGTAGGAAAGGGTAATATATATTCACCCTCTTCAGAAACCACAGCACATGTTATATAACAACGTCTCAGACTCCTTTATGTGTCAATTCTTTATGGTAACTTCCATAAAGTTTTCTCTAGAGAAGAAAAATCTAGATGATTTTTACCACATGATTTAGAAGGATGAATGAAAAATCCTCCTGCCCATTTTCTAGACCAAGGTACTTAAATACTTGACTCAAGGGTGCAAACCATGGTGGAGATCCCTGTTAGGTACTAGTGGGAGAAAAGGAAGAGCTGGAATTGCTGTAAGAGAAGTGAGAGTGGTAAGTGGGCACTACCTGCTATGTTCAAGCTACCATTCCAGCTGTCATAATCACATTCCAGCTCTCACAATCACATTTTTTTCACTGAGCTTCCTTACAAGGTGGACACAGTTGAAGAAACTAGTGGAAACATGAACTCCACTCTGAACCTCCTGGGTTTCTGTAAGTTGAATTTCCAGAACCTCTCTAAAGCCTCAAAGTCCAATTAATTCCTTTAGCTATGTGTATCATTGTCCCCATTTCCACTCACCATTGTTATTCCTAGGACTTACGTTGGCTGTAGAAATTCTCCAAACATAGTGAACCCTATTTCTCAGGCCCCATAAACATTGGGCACCACTGTATGAACCCATTGTTTGGAAAGGTACTATGTATACACTCTTGACCCCCAACTTGGGCACATATCCATGGACCTTGGGCCTGGAGTACTTCCTTACCAAGATACAAAAATGCCACATAGCTTGTGCTGGATTTATTGCCTTGTGTGGGAATGCCTTCCTCTGTTGACAAGGCCGTTTATATACCTTTGTTCTGGTGAAGTGTATGTCACACAGGACCCGGTTAGCCCCACTGCTACATCTGTTGAGTAGGGGACAAGACAGGGTTGTCCTTTTATGTCAGAAGAGAAGTTTATAAATGGCCCTGCATTAGATAGTAGTGGTACCCCCTGTCCAAAGGGGACTGAGGGACATTATCAAAGCTGATATTTTTGTTTTTGTTTCTTCACTAAGTAAAGCATTGTTCTATCAGTGGTTGGCTAAATGGAACTGTGTTTCCATGGCAACCTCAGTACTAAGATGCAATAGGCAGAGGTGTTTCCAGTCCACTGGGACTGGTTAACTGGTGCAGTGTTTTGTGCTCCCTTAGAGTTGATAACTGGTGTATCATATTCTGCTTAACAGAATACTGGTGCATCTGTAAGATTGATTATCTATGCCTATTTCACTACTTCTTTGTACCTCAGATTGTATTGGGTTGTATTTCTAATGGGTGGCAAAATCAGTTTGTCACCTTTATATAACTTAATTTACAAAAGAATTTTAATCTTCAGTTCACCTCAATGCCGCTGTCTTAAGGAATTAATAATTTCATTCTCATTTCCTTCCAGCCCCTGATATTTTCTATTCTAGATTCTGTCTCATTATTTATTTATTTTAGGTACCTCATGTTAGTGACATTAATGCTCTTTTCCATGAGCTTGAGCACCTCTTGGCACAGTTCAAAGAGGCTGGGGTAGGTATAGAGAGGGTCACTCCAGAAGGAGTGATGAAGAAAGTATTGGACATAGTTTAGAGAAAGAAAACTGATCCCAATTAATTCCCAATAATCTTGGTTATTTCTTCCTCAAGATGCTTTCTGTCCCAAACCCCTTATTTTGATGTGTCTGGCATTTAGACTGCAGATGGACTTCATAGAGACCTTGGTTGATTTCTTCCTGTCTTGGGAGCTGAGTTGAGTTTGGACAATGATGACAACCTGGGAAAGGAGGGCAATGGAGCAGAAGGATCATGCATGTAAATTCCAATTCTGCACAGGAGTGAGGGCAGAAAGGATAGAGACTATGAAACTATAAAAGCCTCAGTCCTCAATATTGAGAAAGAGGTGACTCAGTTTTTTCCTTTGGTTTTTTTTTTTGTTTGCTTTTTTATTGTGATAACACATAAAATTTAATATTTTAACCATTTTTAAGAGTACAATTTAGTATTGTGTAAATATACAATATTGTGAATCATCACCACTATTCATTTCCACAACTTTTTTTTTTTTTTAAAGCAGGGTCTTACTAAGTTAAGTTGCCCAGGCTAGGGTTGAACTTGTGAACCTCCTGACTCAGCTTCCCAGAGTGCTGGCATTACAGGCCTGGGCCACCATGCCCAGCTGTGATTTACCTTAGTATACCTTATCCTACAGTACTTTTTCAACTATTATGATGCTAGGTAGGTAGCACTGTCATTTTCATCATCCTAAACAGAAACTCAATACCCATTAAACAATTCCATTCTCACTTCCAGCCCCTGGTATACTCTATTTTTTGTCTCTTAGAAGTTGCTAATTCTAGGTAATTGATGTTCCTGAAAGAATACAATATTTGCCCTTCTGTGTGTAGTTTAACTTAAACATTCACTTAATGTTTCCAAAGTTCATGTTTTAGCATGTATTAAAATTTTATCCCCTTTAAAGGTAGAATAATATTCCATTGTACATGAGGTCATCAAATTTTTGGTGAATGTTTAAAATTTTTTAAAAAATTATTAAAGTAAAAGACACTGTTATTAATTGCCTTCAAAGTATTCCCCCTCACTTTAAAAACAATTGCCCCATCATTCTTGCCACTTTCTGGAGCTGTTCTGGAGATCCTCTTTTGTTAATGTTTTTATGAAGTGAGAAAAAAATATAATGAATGTTGGGCGTGGTGGCACATGCCTGTAATCCCAGCACTCATGAGGCTGAGGCAGGAGGATCACCATAAGTTCAAGACCAACATGGGCTACATAGTGAGTTCAGGCCCAGCCTGAAGTATACCCCCCCCCAATAACAATACAATGAATGCAGTTGCTCAATGCCATCCAATAGAAAGGCATATACAATTTTTTAAAGTTCTTCATGTATTCTAGATACTATTCCTTTGAGGAATATCTGGCTAAAAATTTTTTCATTCTGTAGGTCATCTTTCCGCTCTGCTAGTTATTTTGCTGTGCAGAAGCTTTTTAATTTGATATGATCCCATTTGTTGATTCTTGGTACCACTTCCTGTGCAACTGAGGTCTTTTCCTGGACACTAGGACTTTAGTGTACAGGACTTTTCTATTCATAAAGTCCTTGCCAACACTTAATGACTTCCAGAGTTTTAGCTATTTTATCTTCCAGGATGTTAAGTGTTTCTATTTTAACAGTTAGCTCTTTGACCTATTTTGATTTTAGTTTAGTACATGGTGAGAGATATGGGTCTAGATTTAATGATCTGCATATGGACAGCCAGTTTTTCCAACCATTTAGTAAAGAGACTATCTTTCCTCTAGTGTATATTTTTAGCCCCTTTGTCAAAGATCAAATAGCTAAATGTGTTTAGGGTTGTTTTTGCATCCTCTCTTCTATTTCATTGATCCTTCTGTCTTTGTGCAAGTGCCATGCTGGTTTTTTTTTTTTCTGTACCAGGGTTTGAACTCAGGACCTTGTGCTTGCGAGGCAGGGGCAGTACCACTGAGTTAAATCCCTGGCCTTGCCATGCTATTTTTATGGGCTAAAGGATATGGTCATTCTTTTTTTTTTTTTTTTGGTACCAGGGATGGAACTCTGGTTCTTGTGCTTGCTAGGCAGGTGGCAGAACCACTGAGCTAAATCCCCAGCTCGTGCCATGCTATTTTTAATCACTGTAGTTTTGTTACGTAATTTCAAGTCCAGGATTGTGATGCCTCCCACTTTGGTCTTGTTACCCAGGATTCCTTTTGCTATTCTGGGTCTCTTCTCATTCCACATGAATTTTAAGATTTTTTCTCCAGTTCTGTGAAGAATACTGTTGGTATTTTGATTGTAATTGCATTAAATCTGTATATCAATTTTGGAAGCATAGCCATTTTGACTATATTGGTTTTGTCTATCCAGGAACAAAGGATATCTTTCCATTTTCTGATGTCTTTTTCAATTTCATTTTTCAGCATACTGTAGTTTTTGCTGTAGAAGTCTTTCACTTCCTTAGGTAATTTCCTAAGTAATTTTTCTTATTGCTAATGTGAATGGTATTTTTCCTTAATTTCTTTCTCAGTGGGCTCATTATTGGTGTACAGGAACTATTGATTTTTGTGTTGATTTTGTATCCTGCTACATTACTAAATTTGGGTTTTTCTTTTTTTTTTTTTTTGGTGCTGGGGATCGAACTCAGGAGCTTGCAC